TCCTGCTGAGTCTTTGGGCTCAGTGGCACCGAGCAGAGTAAAGCTACACCCTGGACACGTCCAAGGACACCGGGAAGGACCTGGGCCCCTAGATGTCACGTGCTGTCCCGCTGACCCATAGGAGGCCCCAGTCAAATGAATCCCCCAGACCCTTCCCAAGTGAACCACAGCCCAGCCCAGCCTTTAAAAAGCCCCCTGAAAACAGCTGTGAAAGGGAAAAGCCAAGGGATAGTACAAGGGTCCTGACCCGCTGCTCCTGCCCGGTCTGCACACCCCCGAGCCCTATGGGGCCGGCATGCGTGTCCCTGATGACAGAGGGAGCTCCCCCAAGAAAGCCTCGCCTTGGCCTTTGATGTCCAAGAGCTTATGTACTGTCATGCCCCATCATGCCTGCCTTGGAATTCAATAAATATAAGGTGACACTCCTCCCTCAGGAAGGGCTCTGATCCACTCACATACTTGAGGGGGCCCAGTGCTTTGGGGCCAGAGAGGAAGTGGGGAGAGGGGGAGAGAGAGAAGGAGGGAGAGACAGACACGTTCTCTTCTCCTCCCAGACGTGCCCCCTACTCTTGGAGCGCCCAGCGGGGCACGCACGCCCCTGCCTGCCGCACCGCATCAGCCCACTGGGATGGTTTCCCACCTGCCACCTACGGAATCAGTGTCCCAGCCCAGCGGTTAGAATAAAGGGCCTCTCCCAGGCAGCCAGCAGCCGGGTCTCAGCCCTCTGACTTTCCCTGCTACCCTGCCGGGGTTTCTGCACCCCAAGACTGCAGACACAGCAGGGATTAACAGCACAGGGCCCACGGGGCAGGGGAAGCTGGGAGGTGACAAGCAGTGTGGGGACCGGGTCTCCAATACTTCCCTACCCCGCCTTCTGGAGTCTCGCTGGCCCCTCCGCAGAGAAAAGTCTGCTCTAGAGCGACCCGCACCATCTGGGTGCTGACAGAATACCACAGGAGGGGTACCCAGACTGATGTTCATTATCACATCCTGGGGTTTTAGAGCCAAATTCTGACAGCGGCTGCCCAGGTGCCTGGTGGGGGGGGGCAAGGGGGCCCATCCGACTGCCCCCAGCAAGATGCTATCCCACAGGGCCTCCCAGCGGGCGCCCACAGGCATGGCGGTCTCGGATCCAGACCATCCCCATCACCCCACGGGGCCCCAAAGAAGACACTTCCACCCGTGTTCCTAGGGGAGAAAGTGGAAAGCTTTCAGAAGTCAACATTCAAAAGCGAGTTACATTTTTTGGTCTAAGATTTGAGCAGATACGAATCCTGCTTTTGCACATGCCGGCTTGCACACACACCCAGAGGCTGAGCCGCCATACCGAGCATCACCTAAGAGTTCACCGGTCACAACGCAGGGCCTTCCAGTCAATTGGACGATGGCTCTGAGCCCAGCACGGGGACCCCCGTGCCTCGGAGAGGACAGGAGAGGGGAGCACCGGCGTGGCTGGCCCAGCCTGCACGTCCCCGCTCACAGCACAGCCACTCCACGAGATTGGGGAGGGCCAGAGATGAAGACTGCTCCATCTATTCAACCACGAGCCTGCAGGTTCCCCCAGCTCCTCACCTAAAGCCTCAGACAGCTCAGCTATGGGGATCCCTGCTGCTCCTCCTCAGGGACCCCTGTGAGGGATGGTGCCGTGCAAGACGCAGCCCGCTCCGCAAGCACCATGTGCCTCCCCATTGAGCAGAGGCCTCGGTCAGCTTGGCCTGTCGTGGTCCTGCTGTCCAACCACCACCGAGGCCTGAGGGAGAAACGGTGAGGACATCACGCTGAGTGAGACAAGCCAGACGCAAGAGGACAAGGGCCATGTGAGTCTACTCCCGAGAGGCCCCACGGCAGATCCACAGACGGCGGGTCACAGGGGGTGCCAGGGGCTAGGGAGTGGGAGGGGCGAGTTACTGCTTGATGGGGACAGAGCCTCGTTTTGGGAAAAGGTTCTGGAGATGGTGGTGGTGATGGTGGCGTGACAATGTGAATGTATTGGGTTGGCCAAAAAGTTCGCTTGGGTTCTCCTTACCATGGTGTGGAAAACCCAAATGAACTTTTTGGCCAACCCAATACTTTATGCAGCTGAGCTGGACACTGAAAATGGTTCAGATGCTACATGGGGCCCAGCTGTCCTGTGTCCCCTCCACACGACCCAGGGCAGCACCCTCTGCTTGGCGGAGCCCTGGGCGGCCCGCACAGCAGCCTGAGTGCACCAAGCATGAGCCACTCTCGTGGCTTCCTGTCTTCCTCCTCTGTTTCTCACTGAAGTAAGAAAGTCTGTAGTTCTTACTTTCTCTCTTTCGGCCTCACAATCACTAAAAACAAGAACCAAGTGGTTCTAAGCTTTCCCTCTACAAACTTGGGGGTGGGGGGGGCCCTATGAGAAAAATCAAGCCGTCTCTCTCTCCCTGAAGCTCCTAGCTTCCCAGGCCCCCAGGAACACTGCAAGAAGACCCCATTCCACCCCACAGGGGTGTGTGCGGCCCCAGATGCCCTGGGACGACAGAACAGCCCACTAGGTGAAGCAGCTGGCTCTCCTTTGGGACCACGATGCAGAACAATACACACATACTGTACCTTTAAGACCACTCAGCCCAGGAGGACACATTAGGAGAGGGAACAGAGGGGGATGAAGGGCCCGGCAGACCCCGGGGTCCTCCTGGAGCTAAGCCCAGTGGGTGAAAAGGCCTGCATCTACTGAATTATGCATTTCTCCTTTAAAATCGCTTGGTAAGTGGCGTTCAATCAACTGACATTAGATGCGTGAGGGGGTGACTCTGTGAGACCAGAGAGGGGGCCAGATCCCAGGGGCCACCATCCTGGGCACTCAGGCTCCCACCAAGCCCCCAAGGAGAGGGCGTCCTCTCCAGCTGACAGAACCAAGTCCCTGCACAAAAGCCACATGCTGGATCTCAGGCATGTCCAGGTCTCCTACCTTCAAGGTCTGCATTCTTTCCCCAGACTATGTGGACATATGTTCCAGAAGGCTATCCTTGGCATGTGTACACGTGTTACTCGCAGAAAATCTCTTCCTGCTCCCCTGGCAGACCAACTAACCCCGGAAGCATTTTGTTTGTTTGTGTGTGTGTGTGTGTGTGTGTGTGTGTGTGTGTGAGAGTTGGATCTTTATTGCTGTACGCGGGCTTTCTCTAGTTGCTGCGAGTGGGGGCTGCTCTTCGTTGCGATGCGCGGGCTTCTCATTGCAGTGGCTTCTCTTGTTGCGGAGCACGGGCTCTAGGCGTGCGGGTTTCAGTAGTTGTGGCACGCAGGCTCTAGAGCACAGACTCAGTAGTTGTGGCACACGGGCTTAGCTGCTCCGCGGCATGTGGGATCTTCCTGCACCAGGGATCGAACCCTTGTCCCCTGCATTGGCAGGCGGATTCTTAACCACTGCACCACTAGGGAAGCCCCCCGGCAGCATTCTTTAAAGGGAGCAGGTCAGGCCTGTAACAGGAAGCAAATCTTCAAAGCCCTTCTTATGCCGACAGAGGCACCTGGGAGGATGCCCTGGGACTGCTCACCCCGGGCTCTGCTGGCCCGGCTCCCCAGGCAGCTGGGGCAGCAGGGCCCTCCCGCTCCCTCCAGTGTCTCCACACGGTGTCCCAGCCACTGACAGCTCCTTCCTAGTGCTCCCTGGGCCATGCGCTGACCCCTCTGTGCACACGGCCGGCCACCTCTGTCACCTTTTCCCAGACAGCCTCTGCCCCTCTGCACCTCCCAGGACTGCCCACAACAGAGCCTGTCAGCACCGTGACCCTGCCCCAGTGCCCTGACTGCTGAAGGGAAAAGGCAGATGGACAGGCAGCATCCTTCCAACACGTCTGTCCTCTTGGGCGCTTTGCCACCTGACCTGCTGGAGGAATCTGAGCCAGGTGCCCCAGGAGGATGTACAGTGTTACAACACTTTCCGGGAGGTTTTTTTTGTTTGCCAAACAACTGATCAGGTCCCCTCCACCTCTGGGGAGGTCACTTGGTGCCCACTCTCATGAGACAGGCATCACCCCCCAGCCTAGGAGAGAGGACAGCACTGGTCCCTCCACCAACGGCCTGACCTTGGGCGGGTGTGTGTGTGTCTCACACCCCCTCAGACCCAACCTGACGACAGCGTACAATCTCACTCCGGCCACTTCACAAAAATGTTCCGAGGGCAGGAGAAACAGCCTCCACCAAAGTCGTGTTTACTTCCCAAGTCAGGCATCGCAGTCCCCGCCCGCCCCACCCCCCGCCCCACCTTGGCAGGCGCGTCTCCCCGGGGCACTGCACGTCCCTGTTTTGCAAGGTGGCAGTGGCCAGGGGGCACCAGAATCCAAGACAGCTGATTAGCAGGCCCCAGGCCAGGGATTCAGGAAGCTCTTGGCATTGACTGAGGAGTCCAAACCTCAGCAAAGAAGGAAAAATAACCTCCAGGCCATCTCCAAAGCTAACAAGCTTCCTTTCTGGGGCACCTGTGTCGTCAGGCCCCCCAAAATCAATGCCAATTATTAGATGGGGGAAAGCGGAGTGGGGCTCGAACAAGGAGGGGCCGGACCAAACAGAAACCTCAGAGATGGGGGTCTCATTCCATCCGTGACCCACAAACACCACAGCACCCAAGACACAGACACCAAGGTAGGTCTCTGTCTAGAGGATCTCACCATTCTGTAGAAGGAAGCCGGACAGACACAGGATTCACAGGAAATAGCTGCAAACACAGAGCTAAAGAAAGATACACAGTCAGGGAAGACGCAAGGACATTACGAAGGTCTTGTTTGTCTGCACTGGTTTTTTAAAGACAAGGCGCATGGAAAGAAGCCTTTCCACAAACCCGTGAATAAAGGCAAGAGAGAATTTCCAGGAGACAGTGCCTGGCACTTAGTAGATGCTCAGTAAATACCTCTGAGTGCCTGAACGGGGGACAGGTGGTTGCCTTAGTAAAGGAAACGTAGGTACAAACCAGAGTAAAGAAGAAAGACGTGGAAAAATTGTGTTAATAAATTTTAAAGAAAAAAAGTTAAAGGGACTTCCTTGGCGGTCCAGTGGTTAGGACTCAGCACTTTCACTACTGTGGCCCCAGGTTCAATCCCTGGTCCAGGAATTAAGGTCCCACAAGCCGCGAGGCCAAAAAAAAAAAAAAAAAAAAAAGAGAGAGAGAGAGAAAGAAAGAAAAGAAAAGAAAAGAAAAAGGAAAGAATGGAAGGAAAGGATCTTAGCAACGACAGGGTCCAACCCCTGACGTTTTAGATGAGGAGAGAGATGCGGCCACGTGAAGTGTTGGGACGCAGCTCTCCTGATACCCGGCCAGGTGGTCTTGGCCCACCAGGCTGCCCAGCGCCGCATGATGCTCCACCTGAACTCCTCCGAAAACCCGGCTGGTGAGCACAACACACACACCATCTCTGTGCTGCCCAATCAGGGACTCACTGAGTCCTGGGGGCCAAACTGTGTCCCCTCCAAAATTCACCCGTCGAGGTCCTAGCCTCCAGCACCTCAGAACGTGACTGTATTTGGAGATGAGTTTCTCAAGAGGTGATTAAGTTACAATGGGGTCATCAGGGTGGGGTCTATCCAATCTGAATCATGTCCTTATAAGAAGAGGAGATTTTAGACACACACAGAGCCACCAGGGGTCCACGGGCACAGAGGGAACACCATGTGAAGGGGAGGACCGTCTACAAGCCAAGGAGGGGCCTCCGAGGACACCAATCCTGCCAGCAGCTTGATCTTGGACTCCCAGCCTCCAGAATTGCAGGGAAAATAGATTTCTGTTGTCGAAGCCCCCAGTCTGTGGCATTTTGCCCCGGATCACTAACATACTGGGCTGCTTGAAACACCTGGGTGTGAAAGCCAAGGAAACATCGCCATGGCTAACAGGTGTTTTCCTGAAGAGAAGACACCTATGAAGGACCAGAGATGGGGCGTCAAGGATGAATGCTACCCGGCAACTTCAAAACCCTAACTGAGTGAAACAGGCCAGATGCAGAAGGACAAATATTACATGATTCCACTCACATGAGGTACGTGAAACAAGTAAATTCACAGAAAACAGACCGAAAGTAGAGCAGTGGTTGCCAGGGGCCGGGGGTGGAGGAAAGGTGAGTTATTGCGTAATGGATACAGAATTTCTGGTAGGAATGATGGAAAGTTATAGAGATAGTTATGGTTACACAACAGCATGAATATACAGAATGCCACTGAACACGGGAAAAAGGTGAAAATGCCACGTTTTGCTACATATATTTTACCACAATAAAGAAAAACCTATCACATGTTACATAAATAAGTTATTTTAATTAAAGTTATTACATTTTTTTCAAAAATAAGGAAAAAATCCTACATGAGCCACAGGGATTATAATTCTAGTCGGGGTCAAGACCCCTGTGGGGTTCAGAGTTAATTAAATCCGCCACCACCTTCTCCTGAGCCTTGATCTGAAAAGCAGCCTCAGTCAAAATTCAGGCCTGTTGTCTGGCAACTGGAGAAGATGCCCATCCGTTCACTGTGAACGTGGAACCCTCTGAAACCGCAGGGCAGGCTGGGCCACGGGATTCCCAGCCGGGGTGGGGGGGCGGCTATGCAGCCAGAAGCAACAGCGAGGAATGGGGGGGGGCACCTACCCCTGGACCCACACGAATCTACGCTCCCAGCTCCCTCTTCAGTGAAAGGCCCAGAATGCTTCCTTCTGTTCCCAAAACATGAAAGTCATCCTTCCCAAGCTGGACAATCCTTGTAAAATTGGATCTACATTCCGTTTCCACCCTGGTGATGATTTAAATGGTCTCGGACTCTGCCTCTGTCCCCCGGGAGGAGCCTGAACTCAACCTGGAGGTGGAGGCAGGCTCTGGTCTAGAGATGCCGGTGGAGCCCAGGCCAGGCCTGGGTGACCTCTTCCTGCCCCACAGTTACTCACGCTCGTCGCCGGTCCATTCAACCACCCAAGGGAAAAACAAAGCTGCGATCATTCTGATAACATGTCACCAGAATCCAAAGAGCAAATTAAGCTGCTTAACAGAAATGTGAAACAACAGGGCAGCCACTTGCAGGAGCGCCCAGGAAGAAATACAAGATCTAGGGTCCCATCTCACAAGGGACACACAGGGCTGGGGGTGCCTCAGACCTAAAAGAGGAAAGGTCCTTGGTTGTGTGGCCTCTCTCAGGAAAGGGTGGCCAAAGTCCTCGAAAGGAGTTTAAGGGACAGGGGTGGACATAGCTAAGACGCTTCCCAATGATCAGCCACCTTCCCACCTTCCCGACCCGGCCCCCCGGCTGTGGAAAGGAGGACAGGATCTTGGGGATGTGCTGTGTGTATGGCTCTGAGCTGGGCTCCACGGGAGGCCCAGGAATGAATCAGGTATCCCTGCCTTCAAGATGCACACGTGGATGTGACACCACGTGGATGACATTTGGGGACATGACGCAAAGTGAAATTCGCCAGACACGGAGGGACACGTAATGTGTGATTCCACTCCTGTGACGAGGTGCCAAGAGTCATGGAATCATAGAGACAGAAAGTAGAGGAGAGGGTCCCAGGGGCTGGGGGAGGGGGCACTGCTGTTTGATGGGGACAGAGTCGCAGCTCGGGAAGATGAAAAGTCCCGGAGACGGACAGTGGCGATGGTCGCACAACTACGTGAACGTATTTGATACCACTGATCTGTACACTTAAAAACGGCTAATGTGGGTGAAGGTAGTAAATTTTATGTCATATAGTACCACAAAATAAATAAATAAAGGACAAAGCACAGTCCAGAGTCACAGAAGCCTCCGCTCCACTGCTCCTCAGGGGCAGACGGCAGCCCCCACCCTCTGCCCTAGACAAGGCCCCTCTCCAATGCGGCTATTTCCGGAAGCTTCCCTGATGGCACGCCCTCTGAACACATAAGTGATGTGTGTGTTCCTGTCTCCCATTAACTTTTAAGCTCCCAGAGGGCAAGGACCACGCTCTCTCCTTCTATGCAGCCCATACTATAGGAGGGACAGGCTTGCACACAGCAGAGCTCGCAGCCAGTGGGCCCTGGGTGTGCGGAGCTCGAAGGACCCCTGGACTCCCCCACTCGCATTTTTCAGGCATGTGTGGGGCAGTGGGAAGAACACGGGCTCTGCATTCCCGTGGGGCCTGGAGGCCCAGCTCTGCCACTTCCTGGTTGCATCCTTACCTGCAGATGTGGAGCAGGTGGGGTGATGGAGAGCTCACAGGGGGCCCTGCCTGAAGCATGCTGTCACCATGCCTGGCGCACAGCGGCTGGTGGTCATTTCAGCTCCTTCCCTCAACTCGAAATGCGAGAGTAAAGAGGCTCTGAAGCTAATAGGGCCGGGCCCCCATGTCGGTGGCTGCTGTTGCGTCAGAGAATTAGGTGACTGCCACTCCCTCCCCACAGCGATTTTCCTCATTGTCACATTTCAGAGGTGCAGCCCTGGCCAGCAGGCATCTAAAGAACATGGGTAAACAGTCTGGACAGAGACAGATGGCCGGGCCAATGGGTCTCTCCTTCCCCTCCAGCCACAACGCTCAGAGGAGCATGCTGGGTACTGAGTTTACAAGCTCCCGGAGCTAAAACCACCAAGAGTTTCAAAACCTAACAGGAGAGAGAACATGGGACCTTGAGGACTTTCAGAAAAGGACCCAGAGAGTGCTAAGAGTGGGGTCCAAGCTGTCAAATTAACTCCTCGGCTGGGAACCTACCAAGCATCACCCACGGAGCCGGGTTCTCCTGCGTGCAGGGGCTGAGAGGCAGGCGAGGAGCTGTGAGCTCGGGAAGACGGCCCGCAGGGAGGGCCCCGAAACACACCCCCTCCAACAGGGCCCTGGTCCCTGGAGACTCTGAATTCCCCCAGCAAGACATCATGGTTTCAGGTTGTAGGTCTCCACGAAAACGTCTCATTTTCTGCTTTATTAACAACGTTCTCCCACACCCTGGCGGGCGCCGAGGACCAGTTCAAGCTGGCTCGCTCGGCCGACAGCTGGCCAGACGGGGCTGGTGCCCAGCGACCACAGGGCAATCCTCCAGACCCCAGAGGAGCTGACGTGCCTGCAAAGCAGGCTTCTAAATACTACGGCCTCCCCCCCACCCGTCCAACGAGGGACTCGGGATGCGGCCGGGACAGGCCGCAGATCCCGGCGACACACCACAGCCCACCCCAGCAGCAGATGAAGTCAGCAACTAGATGTGCCTAAAACAAACAGGACGGGGCACCGATCGCAAAGAGGCCACTCCACAGAGCCAAAAATAGCCTCACTTGTTTCAAGAGGATGCTCACCAACGAAGCACATACAACTCCATCAGCAGAGAAAGAAAAATCAATGGAGCAGAAAACCGGATCAGCCCAACAGGGACCAGGACTCTGAGAGACTGCCGACTGCCTCACCCGCCACCCCCCTCCCCCAAATCCCTCTCCTTACTCCAATCACGAACTGTGCCTGGATCTCAAAACCCAGTCCCACCACCCATGCGCCTCACGGTTTTGTACTCAGATGTGCACACGTATTATATACACAAATCCCATAGGTTTAATCTCAGGGCCAGGAGTCAGACCGTGGTCTAGGAGCCCAAAATGAGCACCAGTGGGCAGGGAAGACGAGGAGGCGAGAGCACACTGATGGATCAGAAAATGGAGCTAGGGTAAGAGGCACAGAGGTGAGTAATGCTGGGTGATGTCTCTCATCAAAACTGGGCAGATCAGAACGGGTGTGGCCCTGCTTCAGCCCTGGATAAAATCTTCACCCTGTGCATCTTCAGTGGCCCGCTGAGTCAGAACTGTCGGTCACCTCACTTCCTCTTCATTCGTATTTTCACCTGCTCTGACAAGCAAGCGAACCTGACACTCCTATGGCCTGGGAGCAGCTGGCACCTCCTGGGTTCCCCAAACGTGTCATATAACTCTTGAGGACAGGTGGCGGGGATTGCCCAAGACACGGATCAATCCCGGCTAAAAGCCTCCATCCAAGCAGCAGAGATGACCCACTCTTTATACCATCCCTACTGCTCGGGTGGGGGGGATCAGAAGGCAAGGAGATGACTGCCCAGGGCATCCTGGTCCCAACCCACAGAGAGTACTCTCGCGAGAAGCACAGGGCTCTAGACCCAAAGGAAGGAGCCACCGACCATCCCACACACCACCCCTCCCACCCCAATCCCATTCCAAACACTGGGAATCTGCCTTCAGGAGGAAGGTGGGATGTAGTTTGTTCAGGCTCAGAATCAGTAAGAATCCTTCCAGTCCACAACAGTATTTGAAAATCACTCCAAAAACTATCTACCTTTTCCTCCCCGCATTCCCTACTGCTCAGTGGTTTCCAGCCAGGGGCAGGTGTACCCAACAGGGTGGTAGAGGTACCCACCTGCGTCTCCATGGAAGGCGCCGTCTTGAAGCAGCCTGCTGGACAAGCTGTCCCCATCGCTGGGCCAAATCTGCCCCGTCTTGCGGACGCCCACGATGGTGGCCTCGGACACGACCACCGGGCCCTGCCGGTGCCGCTTCTGACACTGGGGCGTGGGGGGGCTGCTGCTGTCGAAGGATTGCTGGGAGTTCTGCGAGGGTGAGCGGCTCTTGTCCCGGAACATGCGGTAGGTGGTGGGGCTCGGGGACACGCGGCTGGACTGGCCCGAGGAGAAGTCCTCCTCGCTGGATGTGAGGTTCTCATTGGAACTGCAGTCCGGGGTGTAGCCGCCTCCGCTGTCCTCAAAGCTCCGAGGGGAGTAGGACCTCCGGGGCCAGGTAAGGCGCTTCTCCTGCTCCGAGGTGCTCTGGCTGCGCTGGAGCGAGCCCTTGCCCTCCCCTTCCACCATCATGCCCCCGACATAGATGCTCTGGTAGGGCTGGTATTCCAGGGGCGGCCAGGGGGGCCTGCTGCCGCCATTGGCGTTGATCAGGTTGTCCTTCAGGAAGCGCGGGTTCAGCTCCGCGTCCTCAAAGTCGCCGTCGAGGCCGCAGCTGCTCTCGGAGAGGCGCCCGCGGTAGGAGGGCCTGGGCGGGTCCCCAGGGCCGGGTCCCGCGCCCTGCTGGGACTTCTTGCGCTCCATCTGCATGGCCTGGCTGCCCAGGGAGCTTATGCGGTCCGACACGTCTTTGTCGTTGACCTTCACCAGGCCGCGCTCGTGGTGGAACTCAACATTCACGTAGAAGGGCTTCTCGGCGTCCGTCGCCGCCGGCTGGACGGGGCCCTTGCGGATCCTCTCGAAATTGGAACGCAGGACCGCCACGCTGGTGGGGGGCCCGCGGTCGTCGTGGTCCGCGGGAGCGGCGGCCCCGGGCCTGCGCGTGGCCGCGGGTCTGGCCTTGCCCGGGGAGCCCTCCCCGTCGAGCCGGGCCTCGGGCTCGTCGGCGGGCGGCGGGTCGGCTGGCACGGGCTGGGGGCGCGGCGCGCGGGGCTCGGCGGCGCCGTCGGGGGGCTGCGCCGCGCGCCGGAAGCCCCAGCGCTGTCGGTCGTAGCTCTTCTTCTCCTTGGCCAGCAGTGTCTGCAGGTAGATCATGCGGAAGCGCTCCTGGTTCACCTCCTGCTCCAGGCGCCGGATGGAGGACTTGCAGCGCTCCAGCTCCTGCTCGATATCGCCCACCGAGCGCAGCTCCATGCGCGGCGGCTCCGAGTCCGGGAACTGCGCCTTCCACGCCTCGGCGAAGCCCACCGGGTCCACCATGGCGCGGCCGGCCTCACCTGCGCCGCCCGGCTGCCGCGGGGCCCGGCTCAGCGGCGGCGCGGCGGCCTCGCCAGGCCCGGCCCGGGGCGCCGGGCGGCCCCCATGCCCCCGGCGGGGCAGCGGTGGCGGCAGCTGGCGAACAATACCCGCCCCCTCCCGGGCTGCAGGTGAGGCTGCAGCCAGGCTCCCCGCGCGCGGGGCGGGG